CGCTTTCGTTTGCACTGCCCGTGCACACGCATCAGTGCGATGGCGAAGGCGCCACGGGGACCCCGCGACCTTTCGAAGACGGCTCCTACCCAAGAAGAGCTGAACAAGTGCCAATAATACACAGGAGAGACCGAACAGACCCGAACAGCCTCCCAAGGGAAGCTCTTATGTAGTCAAGCTGCGCGGCATGTTACCACACCATCGAAGTTCTTCTTTTGGATATACAGCTGTCCCATTATCCCCGCTGGGCGAACAAATAAGCTTGGCATGATTAGATTTGACGGGGGGTGGTCGCATAATTTCCTGCAAGCGAGGTTTTGAACACCGCACTTCTTAATTCGGCAGGGGCCTTGGCCGAAAGTGCCGCACGAAAAAACAAGCAGAAATTAACAAATTGACAGCACGGGCAACGGGGAACGAGGAACAAGGAGGAGGAGGAGGAGGAGGAGCAGCAGGAGCAGGAGCAGGAGCAGGAGGAGGAGGAGGAGGAAAGGAACGGCAATGACGGCGGCGGCGGCGGCCATGACGGTGACGACGCCGACGACAGCGGCCTCCGTTGCAGCAGGAGGCAGGGTGGTGGTCAGGGGCAACGCCACGGGGTGGTCGACAGAGGGAGGCGTATAGGCCCATGATCGCCCGTTGATGGCCGAACGGGATCTCGTAGCCCCACCCCTCCCAGGAGCATGTGGGGCTATCGGGAGTCGATCGCCGATCTTACCAGCGATGGATGTACCGATTCCAGGCCGATGTGTCCCCCCCTTCTGCCTGCCCCCCCCGTTTCGCTGCCCCTCAGCTAGGCCGCTCAGACTCGGACAACTGAGCCGATGCATCGCCGACGACGCCGACGCATAGCCGCCGCATCGCCGATGCATCGGCGAGTCATCGGCGATGCGCCGTTCTCCTCCGACCCCCTTTACAGTCAACCCGCATAATAAGGGTGAGCGACTTTCCAAGGCTACCTTCGCATCCTTCCCCTTCGGCCCATCCTTGGCCGCTTTCGCTGGCCGCGCCCCGCTCGCAAAGTGTCGGCATGCCCTCCCGAGGCCCATCAATCCTTACAGCGCGTCCTTATTGTACGGTATCATTTTACTCGGACCCATTGTGGGAGGCCTCTAAGCGCGCATTTCCCCCGCCTGCCTCTCCATCGTCTGCGCTCCTCCTGATCCGACGGAGTTGCAGATGTTGCAGCAGATGGCCAAGGGACCGGGAGCGCGGTTCCTCAAACCCTTAGGGAAGGTTTTGGATTGGCGAGATCCTTCCACTCTCTGGCCTTGCAGACCTGTCGGCGATCATCGGATGCCGTCTGGTCTCCCGAGTGTGCAGGGCACTCCGAGGCGAGCCCACCCCTCCAGCAGCCGTCAGTCGGCCCGAGCTCGACGCGCGTTGCCGATCGTTCCCCGAACAGTGCTTGCACTTAGGGGTTCTTGCTCGTCTTCGAAAGACATGGGCCCGCCTGTTGGATCGGCGGCCCCCTTCCCGTCCGTCGCCGCTTTATTCTTCCAAACAAAGGCAAGTCTGTTGGCCTGGCGGCCTCGTTCCCGTTCACCGCCGCCGCCCCATTCCACCCCCCCCATTGCAGCCGCTTCTCGCTCGCATCGCACACAGATTTCACCACATGGATTGCAACACACTGATGCACGACTCAGATTGCACCGCATAGATTGCAAGATACCATTGTTTGGGACCCACGGTGACGAACATGTAGTATACTGCGAACAGAAATCGCACCCTATCATTCTTGTGTCCTCCGCCATTCCTTGCTTCTCCTGCTTCTGCAGCGCTTGCCGTAATCCTGGGCGGCACGGCGGCCAAGACCATCGCGTAGCCTTCCCATGCGCGAGCAAACCGGCGCTGAAGAGCTTGTGGAGACGTGCGCGCAAATGGCAGGGTGGCCAGCAGATTCCTTAGGCAGGGGGACGAGATTAGCGCAGCGGCGAGACAACATGGCCTAGGGCTTGGGAACAAAAACCGGTTCAATAAGGCTGAGAATTTCTAGGATGGAAGCCGGCCTTCTGAGATCCCTTGCACCCCACACCTTCTAAAAGGCAGCTGCACCCCGCACCTTGCAAGATGCGGGGGAGGGCCCCCCCAAACGGACGCCTCCCCTAACCCTGCCTTTTGCTCGCCTAGGTCTCGAATATGTCGTAGTGCATCAGTCCCGCAATTGTGGATACGAATGAGGGGAGCCCTGAGCTGCTTTGCCGAAGCTGCGAAGCTCGAGCGCCAATTTAAAGAAGGCTGCCGAAGGCGCCAATATCTGTCAAGCCAATACACCCGTCGCAGGCACCCATGCTTTTGCAGAACCCGGTGCATGGATCGCGGGTCGCAGTGGCCGAAAATCAATGTAAAGAAGCCCGACATAGGCAGCGGCTTCTGTTGCAATTCAATGCGTGGTTCGCGGGTGTGGGTCGCGGGTGGGCCGCAGGGTGGGTTGCGGGACGGGTTGCGGGGTGGGTGACGGGGCGGGGCGCGGGAGGGCCGCGTGGCGGGCGACGACGACAAGAATAGCAAGAGCAGCAACATCAATTCGCACCGCAGAACCCCACTCTGGCCCGGGTTAGCCCGTGCGGCCCCCTCACGGCTCCTTATCCAGTGCCCTCACCTCACCTTTGTGCGCAACGCATGGAGGTCTGGGGTCCGATAGGGGGTCAAAGCTGGTTCCTTCTTCGGAAGCGCCATTGCCAGAATCTCGCGGCGAGCCCAGCCATGGCGACGAGAAGCTTTCCGGAGCCAGAACATCTCCGAACGACCTCTCCCCAGACCTCCGTCGATCCTCGGGCGCTTTCGAGCGAAGCAGAAGCCCCCCGAGCCGGCGGGGGGCGCCGGAAGGCCGTGATGGCGCCCCGCCTGTTGCTGCTGGTCGTTGCAGCCCTCTACGGCTCCCTCGGCATCTGCATGCGGCTGCTGTACTCGCTGTCCGGGCCGCCAGGGAGCGGGGAGGGGGGCGGCAGGCTTCTGAGGAGGAGAAGGTCCAGGGGGCAACGTCGGAGGGTTAAGGGGTCACGGGGAACGAGGAGCGAGGAGGAGGAGGAGGAGGAGGAGGAGGAGGCGGAGGAGGAGGAGGAGGAGGAGGACGAGGACGAGGACGAGGAGCAGGAGGAGGAGTTGGAGGAGGAGTAGGAGGAGGAGGAGGAGTTGGAGGAGGAGGAGAGGGACGGCGACGACGGCGGCGACGGCGGCCACGACGGTGACGACGCCGACGCCAAAAAAAAGTAGGCAGGGTGGGGGTCAGCGGCAACGTGAGGGGGTGGTGGCCCGGGGGAGGACGCATCGATCCCCAATCGCCCATGCGTCGCCGAAAGGGGCCCGACAGCCAGCCCCGCCTGGGAAGGTGTGGATTCGACATCGGGGGCCTACCGTCGATCTTTCGGCGATACATCGCCGACTCAAGCTCGACATTCCCCCCCCCAGAGTTGGTCCCCCGCAGCGTCGCCCCTCGAAGTTGCAGAGACCGCTAACCCATCCCTCGCCGCCACTGCTGGAGTCGCCTCGAAATCTTCGTCAGAACGCACCCCGGGAGTGGCCCAGGAAGTAGCGATGTCGGGATCCTGTTGTCCCCAAGGTTCGCGCCACCCCGGCTCCAGCATTCACGATCGAGGACGGGGGCTTCGGACTCACGTCTTTGAGCCTTGCTGGCTTTTATGGGACTCTTGGGAGCCTCGTGCGCCCCTGAGCTCACCTCCGAAGGTCTCCAGCATCGGAACTTTTCGATTGGGCGGCCGAGGAGAATCATTGGGATCTTGAGTGGCGCCAAGGTGGCCTTCAATGCCCCCGCGCGGCCGCCAACGACCCCCCAGGCGGCTCGAGGAGGCCCCAGGACGGCCCAAGAGGGCGATCGGGCATCGCTGCCAGGGCTCGTGTAGAAGATCGACTACAGAATTGAGGTACACCTGATTTGATAGATTCGTCGAATCTGCACCAAAAGACGCAGAATGTCCGTAGATCTACCAAGGCTCTACGTATGCTTCGTGGACTCGACGGAAAAATCTTGTGTAAATCAAATGTGTAGTCGATCTTATACTCGAAGGGTGGTGCCTCGGATGAGGCCTGGAGGCCGATTCTGAGCCAGAGTGCGCGGGCAGGCCGGGCCCTCCAGCCAGCGCGAGAAAGTTGGCCTCCTCCTCATCCCCTTCCTCCTCCTCCGTAGCCACTTTGGCTCAAGACCCCAGCGCTGGCGGGCACAGCGCCCGCAGGCTTCCACGGCGCACCCTTGTTCTGGGGCCAGCTTCGACGATCTTTCTTCGTCGTCCACCTCCGCATCCACGTGGGACTTACGGGGATGCCGCGGCCCCAGCGACCTTGCTGTCTGGCGGCATCCTCACGGCGCCGTGGGGCCCGCCATGGACGAACTTGCAAGACGATCGCCTCGAGGAGGGAAGCGTGACGGGCGTGAACGTTCCCCACAGCAACGAGACCCATGGCATGCTGCTGCCAACGAGCTCACGCGCACCAAGCTTGACAGTGAAGGAGCAGATGGAGACCGCCTCGAAACGATTCGAGAAAAGTGCTAAGGAGTCCGCGCCCGCGGCCCCGACACAATTCATCGCGCACCTGCAGAAGGTCAGAACTTCTATCACCCACCGAAAACTAACAACATAGTCAGATATCGCAACAGTCAAGAAGCTGCTGAAGGTGGCGTCGGTGCTTACGGTTGAGGCCCATGGCCTCGGCCTCGTCCTCCAGCCTGCAAAGTCGGCGGTGGTGGTTTGCTCGGCGCAGGTACGGCGGGTGGTACGGCAGATCCAACGCGAGGCACATGCGCAACCTATGGCACGAGCTCCATGGGCCCAGGGTCCTGCGCCGTGTGGAGAAGAAGAGGCTTGGGCTGATGCGCGCTCGCTAACATCGTCAGCTGATGATGCGACGCTCTGTTGGCCGCAAGGCAACAACGCTCTGACGCACAGGCGTCATGCCGTCGGTTGGACACGTGGCGGTTGTTTTAGGCATCGCCGACGCGCCCCTGCGAGAAATGAGGAACCTCGCAGCGGTGCTGAGCGGACTCCGTGATACCCACCATGTGGGTGTCACGGCGTATCTTCTTACGCACAAGGCGGAGGAGTACGACCCCATCTACCAGGCCACCGTCGGGCTGGTCATGAACTGCGCGGTTTGGATTTGGGACGGTCGCACTTCCCCCAGCCGCCTGCATCACGCGTGGAGGAAACTGCGCGACCAGGGAGCTTCGCTCAGCTTGGCCAATGCCAAGGGGCCCCTGGCGGCCACCTGGTTTTACTCTGCAGCGACTGGCATGGGACCTGCAGGCGCCGCACTTGATGCAGGACGACCTCGGCAACGTCTACGATTTGCACCGTGTGTGTCCTGCGGGGTTGCGCCCTTTCTTGGTGCAAGGGGTGCAACAATGGCAGTGCAGTTGTCTGACCAGCCACCTCTACACGCACAATGGAGCGCCGATATGGCATCAAGGACTGCGGCGCGCCCTTCGAGGCATACGATGCCCTCGTCAGCTTGGTGCTCTGCAGGCCCTTTGGGCGGACAGCTTGCTCATTCCCATACGCAGGACTATGAAGCTGGGCAGGCCCACGCGCCCCTGCCAGGCGTGTGGCAACGAGTTCAGCCAGGACACGTGTTGGGGGCGCGTCTTCCTTGACTGCCCCGCGCCCCTCCCGAGCTCGACAGCCAACAATCCGCGGTCTGCGGCGCAGGAAGCCCCAGTGCCCCGCATGGCAGAGCAACGACCGCAGACCGTGCGGTCGGTGGGCAAGATGATTTGTTCCCCTCTGTGGGAGAGGCGGCGGAAGAAGTCCCTCCAGCCAGCTGCGAGGAGGGCCCCTGGACCGCTCTCCGGGGGCAGGTGAGGAACAGCGCACTGACGACATGCCACCGGTGTGTAGGTGAGTAGTGCTGAACTCGCTAGCATCCATGATGCTGGCGTGACGGTGCAGAGGGACAAGCACGAGTCACCTCCCAGCAAAAGCGACCTTTGCAAGCTTCCGACTCCCTGGCGGAGGCGCGCGACCAGTTCATTGTTGTTGGGTTGGGTTCTTGCATGGCGAATCTCGACCAGTTGCACCTCGTGTGCCAAGTCTCGATCTCGGCACGACTGGCGCGCAGAACTGGGTGACGTCCATGGAGAGTGGGGCCCCGTATCCTACACTGGCTCGGGGTACGACTCCAGCGCGCCTGAGGTCCGAAGGTGCGGGCAGGCCGCGGTGCAGCTGGACCCGCAGTCGTGGATGCCCGTGCGTGCAAGGTTTGGCCCGCTGCCTTACTCGGTCCAGACTGTCGGCCGTGCCGAGCGCTGCGCCATCAGGGAGGGGCTCCAGGCGCATCCAAATCATGAGGTCCTCGTCACCGACCTCGCATCCCGGGCCACGGAAGGCGAGGCCTGGGCCCTTGCCTTGGCCACGGGCAAAGCCAAGCATGCAAGGGTCTGGGAAGACGCACTCAGCGCCTGCCGCCATCGCACGGCTGAGAGGCTTCCTGCCTTCAGGTGGGCTCTTGCCCGTCGTGCGCTGGATGACCTCGCGGGCTGCGAACCCAGCGAGCTCCGCGACTGGCTGGGGAATAGCTGGGCCGACTAATTTGCCAGGTGTGAAGCGGCTTCCCATACTCTTGCTGGCGCTGTCGCCGAGTCCATGGGAGCAGCCCTCCAGCAGCGCTGACGAGGGCTTCGATTCGTCGCCTGGGCTGCCATGCAGGCCGCGGTGCACAAGAGGTGGGGCGCGGACAAGGACATTCCGCGTCACCCGCACGAGCACGTGCAGACCATCGTGGTGGGCAGGGAAGACGGCCATGTCTGGGCGTTCAATGCGGTGCTACGGCAATACCGATGCAGGAGACGCGGCGCCACCGCAAATACCGAGCAGTCCATGACGACGCTTCCTCCGGGCCCCTTGCGCAAGTGCGCGCCATCCCGCGTCACGGTGGCGCTCAACGCTGAGTAGTTTCGAATCCAGGGCGAGGGCTGGGTGGACTGCCTCGACACCAGGGTCGCGGTCGGCGGCGCGGTAGCCAGGCAGCTCGCAAACGCGCAGCCGCCAGTGGTGCCCCTGGACCCCGAGTCGGAGGACGTGGGGGCGGCCTTCGAGGCGCTGGAGCATGACGTCTTCCGCGTCGGTGACACGTTCTGCTGCCGCCTCTGCGGCGCGCACTGCTCTGCCTTGGACAAGCGCACCGTGGGGAAGCTCGGGAAGAAGTGCGACGGGCTCGCAATCAATGAAACGACCCGCAAGAATCAGTTCGAGGCCATTCGGCGAAACGGGCCTGGGCTCGCGCCAAGGCAGCGCGGCAGTACCCTGCGAATCGAGCACGTCGATGAGCAAGGGGTGACCGCTGGCGGAAGGACTGGGCGACCAATCCAGGTAAGGGGAGCTCAGGCGGACAGGCGAAGTGATGAGCCGCCAACGCCCGTAGGCTGCAGGGCGGGGCCGCCGATGTACGCTGCTGGGGGCTGCGGCTGGCACGCGTTTGCGCTACAGCGTTTTCCACCACGTGGGCTGCGACTTCCTCCTCCAGTGCATCCACATGTCCCTCTTCGACGGGTTCCGCTTCCTGGTGGTCCTCTTGCCGCTGGTGGGCTTCATCTTCCCCATGCTGGAAATTCTTGTATGTCCTGTACTACGCCCTCCGGCTGGTGGTCGTGTACTTCGCTCAGTGGAGGCTGCCGGGACCACTTTTCGGCAGCCTCCGAAGGAACCGTTTCATCGACAATACCGTCTACGTTGCCCGACACTTCGCCAGCACCCTGGCATGAGTGGCTGGCGCCCCACCGTAGACCGTCGGGCGCGCGCCAGCGCGGTCGGCGGTGGACGGCGCGGTGGCGGCGCGTTCCTCCTCCTCCTCCTCCCCCTCCTCCCCCTCTTCCTCCTCCTCCTCCTCCTCATCATCCTCATCCTCCTCCTCCTCCTCCACCTGCTCCTCCTCCTCCTCCTCCTCCTCCTCCTCCTCTCCTCCTCTTCCT